ACCCCATCTGGCCCCAGGCTATCTGGGGGAGCAGGTGGAAGCTACCAAAGCCTAGCAGGGGGCAGAAGGAGGTGGGATGAGCTCTCGGGACACAAAGGGGCTGGGAGGGAGGAAGGGAGGGACGCGGGCAGCCTGGGCTACTGAGTTTGGAGGTATGGCTTATGGGGGGGCGGGAAAGACCAACGGGAAGGCTCAGGAAGTCTGGGAGGGGGAGAGAAAAGTGAGGGGGTTCAGGGGCTGAGAGCAGAAGCACCATCAGCCGGAGGGGGCTTGAGGACAGCGCCCAGGAAGCCTGACTGTGGAAGGAGGACGGGACGCGGCGTCAGGCTCTGGGGCTCTTTCCCAGGGGGATGGTCTCTCTATAAACGGGGGTGACAGGCCCGAACGGGGTACGCTGCCAAGGCGCTGCCACAGGTATGGAGGAAAGGAGTTGAAATGAACCTTTGCCATGGGCCCCTTTACGGGGGCTGGGGTCAGGAGTGCAAGCTCCCCTCCTTCCCATGCTCGCAATGCCCGGGAAGAGCAGGAGGGGGTCGGAGGGTGCAGGCCCCCCGGGCTAAGAAGAACCATCCTGAGCAGTCAGGCGGGGAACTGCAAAGTCCACACACACCCCCCAGTCACCCCTCTGCTGAATGTGGGGGCCAGGCCTCTGTCGCAGATCCAAACAAGACAGCAGAAGCCCAACTTGGCCATGCAGAGGGCTGGTCACCAGTCCTAGCTGGTGTCCTAGCTGCTGAGCTCCACCAGGGACCCTGGACACACGGGCAAGCCTAGCCCGTTCCAGCAGGGTCTGGCCAAGCCCAGCCTGGACGTGTTTCTGGCACTTCCTCCCTCGAATCCATCTCCTGGCTCTTCCGCTGGCGGGACCCCTCAGACTGCTCAGAGGAAACAGAGGGACCAGGAGGCGACGGCCAGGCCCCCCTTGTTCTGCAGGGCTGGGTTGATGCATCTGGTCCTGAACCCGTCCACGTCCCCACTGACCCCTGCGCTGCCCAAGGGCAGTCTCCTTATCTCTGTCCCTGCCGAGGCCTGCTCTCACCAAACGGATGTCGCCAAAATAAACACACCATAGAGAAACCCGCGCTCCACTGAGGAAGCTGGAGCCTCTCTGCCGTTCCTGGGTGAGCCACAGGCCTCCGGGATTAATCCAGAAGCGCCGGCCAGCCTGGGTGCTGTTTGACCACTGTGCCCACCAGCCTACAGACACCATGCAGCGCCACGGGCACGGTGCCCCCAGCCCCGGCAGAGTTGTTGAGGGGAGGTTCTGCGGGTCCCACGTAACCGGCGCGGGGGCGGGGCGGGGAGCGTCCTGCTGAGACTGGAATGCAAGCAGGGGGCCCAAAGTCTCGCTCAGGCAGGCAGTGCCAGGAGCCATGCAGCGTGCAAGGATGACAGACGGAGCGGAGCCAGGACGGAAGACTTCGCGGAAGAGGCGACACGTGCAGAAACGCAAGGCGGGTCTGTGGGGGCGGGATCCGGGCTCAAGGCGGAGAACTGGAGAGAACAGAATATGCCCACTGGAACTGACCAGCCCTCTCCTACCCGCGAATCCGTAGAGGTCTCCAGCTCGTTCGGAGCACTGAGTCCACCGAAAGCCCCGTCGGGGGAGCGGGTCCTGCTGGGAGCCCGCATTGGCTGTCACAGGTCACGTGGGAGGTCGGGGGCGGGGCCGTTGCCCGGGGAGATGCCCACGGGGCGGGGCTACTGCTATGCAGACTGGTGGGTCTCGGACCGCTGGGGTGTTCTGCTCCACTCTTAGGCCCCCTTTTGGCCCACCCAGGAAGCGGTCACTCGAGCTGGGCAGTCGGGTACTGGCCCCGGCGCGGGGCTCCAGAGCTCCAGCTCCCAGTAATTACCGAAGTACCCTCCCAACGCTGCTGCCCGCCTGCCCAGAGCTAATCACAGCCTTGGTTTCCACTCCACTTCTTTATTTATTTTTTTTTGTGCGGGGGGGCGGGGGGAAGTACACCTGGCATGCTCAGGAATTACTCCTGGCTCTGTGCTCAGGGATCACTCCTGGCAGGCTTGGAGGCACCATATGGGATCGAACCGGGTCAGCTATGTGCATGGCCTCCCCACGTACTATCACTCAGGCCCGTCCACTGCCACTTCTGTCTCCCCACTCAGACCACGGCAAAACCTGCAGAAACGGGCTCCGTTGCAGTATTCAGTGCCGCCCCCGCCCGGGTTTCATTAACCCTCATTATAAGTCTGCGAACTGAGACCCATCTTGGTTTCACAATCAGAAGCTGCTGAGAAAGGCTGGACAATAACGTGAGGCCACACAGCTTAGTTAAAAACTCAACTCCCTTCTTGCATGTGTTTGACTGGAGTTCAATCCCTGGCATCTGATAGGATCCCCCAAGCATGGCTAGGAGTAATCCTTGAGCACAGAGCCACAATCAGTCCTGCGCACTGCCGTTGGATGTGGCCCCAAACCCAAAACCAAAACCAAACTCAGTTCTCCTCTGGTTCCAGTGCTCTGTTGACTTGCAGCCTAGGACCACTTCCAGCTGTGTGACCTCAGATAGGGCACTTAACCTCTCTGTGCTGTCTCCTTAAAGTAAAGTGTGTCTAATGGCCATCTCAGGGGTCCTTGAGAAGATCAAAGAAGGCAATCAATAAAGTACTTAGAACTCTGATCACTGTCACTGTCCTCCCCTTGTTCTTCTATTTTTTTTGCTCAAGCGGGCCCAGTAACATTGCAAGACTTGTTACTGTATTTGGCATATTTATTACGCCACGGGTAGCTTGCCAGGCTTTGCCATGCAGGCGAGATACTCTCGGTAGCTTGCCGGGCTCTGATAAACACATCAATTACAAATAGTATGGTCATTGGCTCATGGCCAGTTCTCAGAATCTCTTAAACTCATTAAAACACTTTTCTTCTCATTTAGCTTCACCTCATCCCATCCACTTGACAGGAAGACATGAAAGCCAATCCCTGTTTGCAGGTCGCTGAGAGCTAAGTTAGAGGATGGTTCTTTCTCTTCCCTCTTCTCCCCCACCCTTGTTTGTTTTGTTTGGGGGCCACACCAGATGCTGCTCAGGGCTTACTCCTAGCACTCAGGAATCACTTCACTCCTGGTCGTGTTGGAGGACCATATGGGATGCCAGGGATTGAACTCGGGTCGGCTGCATGCAAGGCCACTGCCCTATCCACTGTGCAATCTCTCTGGCCCCAAATCCACTCTTTCAACACTAGAACTCTTTTCTCTTTAATCGCCCCGTTCCCCCTGACCCCCAAGCCACTAAGTTAAATCTGGCCAATTCCCAAGGTTCATTTCAATGTAAAGCACTGAATGTCTCCCCCAGGCTCCCTGCTCGGCCATCCCCCCAACACCCATCTCGAAAACGAGGGGACAAGCCAGTTATAGGTGGAAACTCCCAAACCTAATTTCCATCATCATTATGGGTCAGAGACTCGCGGGTATTTCTCTACTGCTCCAGATTCTACTTATTGGATAATCCAGAAGGAAGGCGTTGCCCTAGGATTGCTGCTATTGATTTTCCTTTTCCGTGAAAAACAAACATTCCTTCAATCCAGGCAGTAACACCTGCAGCTGCTGTTCAGAGAGACGAAAAGCTTCCCTCTTCCCAGCGGTCCAGTCAACAAAGCCAGAAAACAAGCCTCAAGCTCAAGTCCTGGGAGGCTTATGGGAATGACCATCTCTCCCCTCCTGCCTGAGGGAGGGTGTCGCAAAGAGGGGTGCCTCTCCCCTCTGTCCCTTTATATCACCCACCAGCTGGGAAAAAAGAAGAGAATGACGTCCATGAGGAGTGAAGTACTGTATTCTCTGCAATATTCCAATTAGAGAACCCCAGTCCCCACTGCCCAGCACACAACTCCCCAAAGCCCTTCCCTCGCTGACACTGAGTCTTAGGGGACAGAGCAGAACACAGCAGGGGAGCCCGCCTCCAACAGGGTCTGCCTGGTCAGGATCTTCTAAGTAAGTTCCGCGCCCAGAACCAAACTGAAGGAGAAATTTGCCCCATCCACGCTACCACTGGGGGTCACAAGAAATGCTCAGAAAGGATTCTGCACGCCATGGACGCACCAACATGCCAGCGTTATGCCCCCTTCCACGGCACTGCAGCCAAACTCCGAGATAGACAGACGGACTGTGGCTTTCTGTTGATGACACCGAGGAATTTTGGCTGCCTGCCCTGATCAGCTTGGACAAATAGGGCACTTAGCTGTCAGGCACATCTTGGGAGATGAAAACAAAACAGAGAGAGAGAGAGAGAGAGAGAGAGAGAGAGAGAGAGAGAGAGAGAGAGAGAGAGCGCCAGCCCTGGGCACCCACAAACATTCAAGTTATCCTGACCAACAGGAGTGCGGGGGCGGGGGAACCTGAGGTCCGGCTTGAGCTGTCCCCTTCTCCAGCCCCTCCAGCCCCGGAGTCATTTTCCAAGCTGGCCACACTTGGCATTTCCTACATTCCTTCTCCCTCCTCAGACCCCTCCAGCTCGGCCTCTGCAGGGCGACAGCTGGGGGTGACGTGAGCCAAGGCAAGAGGCACCAGGAAGGGAGTGCAGGGGACAGGGAGGGTGTCAGTGCAACCCAGAAGCTGTCGCAAAGGGAGGAAAGGGATCCTCGCTCGCTCTGCACCTCCCCAAACCGGCGGCCCACTCCCCGCCCCTCACTTGATCTCTCGGTCCACACGCGCGCGCGCACGCACACACACACACACACACACACACACACACACAAACACACACTGCCCCCCCCCCCCCGTCCAGGGGCATCTCTTGCATCCGGCCCCTCTCGCGTTCCTTCCTCTCTCCCCGCCCCGGCCATCCCTAGCCTGGCCTCGTGGGCAGGGGCATCTCACGGATCGTGGCAGAGCCTAGCAGCGTCCAGCCCTTTGCCTCCGGCCCGCTCGGATGCGGGTCCCCAACCTCCCCGGGATCGCTCGGACTTCCGCACGGATCACTGCCCCGCGCGTCCCACGAGATGCCCCCGCCGGGCATGCCCCGGGGTCCCCCCGGGTCCTCACCTGAGTCCTCTCGAAGCTCTCCCGCTCAGCCGCCTCCACGCCCGCGCCGACCGCGCGCCGGCTCAGCACCTTGGGCAGTGGGTTGGGCACCTGCTTTATGGAGCTGGCCATCCGGTCCATGTCGCCGCACGGAGCCGAGTCAGGCAGGGGCCCTCGGCCGCCCCGGGATCCCCACGGCGCCGCCCGCCCCGCCCTCCCCGCTGGGATCCGGCGCTTAACGGGACGCGGCTCCCGCTCCTCATTGGCTGCGAGCGCTGCTACTCCCGAGGCCCCGCCCCTCCCAGAGGTTCCCCCGCCCGCCCGCCCCCGCGGCGCGCCCCGCCCCGCCGGGGCCTCGAGGCCGCGAGGCGCGCCAGGACTGGCCCGCGGGGCTGTCCATCACCGGCGGGGGCGGGGCGGGGGCGTGGAGGGGCGGGGCCGGGCGGCCCTGACCTGCCCTCGCCCGCCCCGCCCCCGCCGGCCGGCCACGCCGGCCCGCCCCGCCCCGCCCGCCTGCTGGGGGCGCCGCGAGGTTCCCCGCGAGGTTCGCTGGGGTCAGGCTGGTCCCCGAGCACGGGCTGCCACCGGGAATCGGTCCGCCCGAGAATAGCCTATTTATTCCTTTCGGACCCGAGGCCGGGGGTGGGGAGCCGAGTGGGCGGGCGGAGTCCCGGACAGCGCTGCTCCTCCCGGCCAGCGTCGGCCGGATCCGGGCGCCCTCGGTGGCGGCCCCCGCCGCGACGCTGCTTCCTCCCCGTCCGGAATCGCCGGAACCGGAGCAGAGCCCGGGAGCCCGGGCCGGGTGTGCGGGAGCCGCCCTGCGCCTCCTTTCCAAGCCTCTCATCATCGGGCGGGCCAGAACCGACTGCAGCGGGAAGGGATGACGGCCGGAGAAAGAAGTTTTCCGTTAAATACCCACTTCGGTGTTTTTCCAAAACTGCTCAGAACCGCAAGAAAAGCATTCATGTTTGTTAGTTTGAGCCACGCCCGGCGGTCCTCGGGGCTTACTCGGGCTCTGATGCTCTGGGGGACCCCATGTGGTGCTGGAGAATCGAACCCCGAACCCCGGGTGGAGCGCCGGATCCACTGTCCATCCCGAGCATTATTTTATTTTTTTTAAGCTAAGAGTTTTTAAATTCACATATCCGATAGAGAAATAAAAGTTGAGGGAATCCTTTGCAGGCATTGAGGGTTCTGGAATGTTGGCCTCCACCGACATGCTTTGCCTGGCTGGGGGCTGTGGCCATCAGGGTGTGTGTGTGTGTGTGTGTGTGTGTGTGTGTGTGTGCTGGGGGGTCTGAGGGACTGCACTAGAAAGTTCTGTCCGGAGGAACGTTAGAGGAAGGAGCTTGGATAAAAGGAAGGTGGGAAAGTGGGGGTACCAGAGGGGTCCGGGGGTTTCTGGAGAGAAAGGATTTAATGATGGGAGGGTGCCTTAAGGTTCCCTTTGTCTGGAAGGCAGCAATTTGACTTGATTTTTGTTTTGGGGCTATACCTGGCGGTGCTCAGGGCTGACTCCTGGCTCTGCTCTCAGGATTCACTCCTGGTGGGTTCAGGGGGACTGTATGGGGTACCAAGGATGGAACTGGGCCAACCGCATGCAAGGCAGACACCCTCCCTGCTGTACTATTGCTCGGGCACCAACCTTGACTTAACTCGTACGTAGGGGGCAGACCCAGCCAGTGGCCCCCTGGCTTCACCAATGAGGCTGCATGGTCCCCTGTGTTTCCATGTATTGAGTTGTAGAAGGGCAAAGAGGATATTGCTTACAAACACAGCAGGGGTGGGGTTGGGTGGGCCGGCTGCTGTCTCCAGAGAGGTGACATCAGTGACAGACCAGTGTCACTGACCCGCAGGTGGGTGGCACGAGTGGGGACAGGTGGCTGGGAAGGAAGCACAGGAGACGCAGGAGGTGGCAGAGACTAGGAGGGGAGGGCCCGAGGAGGGGAGACAGCTAACATGTCACTGAGGGTCTTTTGGGGGAGCTCAGGGAACTGTGGAAGTGTGTGGATCGGTGGTAGGAGGTGTGGGAGTGCCGAGAGCCAGAGAGGGACCATGTGCCAAGGGGGCGAGTGGAGTGAAAGGGGTCAGCAGGGACCGTGGGGGTAATACAGGAATTAAGGCATTTGCTTTGCATGCAGCAGACCCCAGCAGATCCCTGGCACCGCATAGGGGCCCCTGAACACCTCCAGGGAGTGATCCCTGAGCACTGAATCCGGAGGAAACAAAAAACAAAAAGATGAACCCAAAAGGGGCAAATCCACAGGCTTCCAACAGGGGGTGCTCTTAGCAGTCCTAACCTTGAGGGGACATGGGGAGGAGCCATTCTGGACCCTCTGGGAGCTCTGGTTATGGGTGGGGGGGCACCTGACAAGCCCGGTGGCGACCCAGTCTTCTCTTCAACCTGCCGATTTCCTACCTGTGCCCCTCCTTGGCCAAAGTCAGCTGGAAGCTGGAGGGCCAGGATGACATGTGAGAGCCGAGACGTTTTCCTCCTCACATGGTAGAGAGAAGGCCAGATTTGGGGGACTCCAGGAGGTTCCCAGCACAGCTGCTCATGGGGCTGAATCCCCCAGGAGAAAGACTCCTCACCACCTCCAGGGTCCCACGCCTGCTCCCATCTCAACACAGCTCAAGATTGATTTGTTGTAGTTGGTTTGTTTGGGGGCCACACCCGGCGATGCTCAGGGGTTACTCCTGGCAGGGCTCAAGGGACTCTATGGGATTCTGGGGATTGAACCCAGATCAGCGCATGCAGGGCAAATGCCCTCCTCTCTGTCCTATGGCTCCAGTCCCTCAAGCAAATATGATTCTCTCTCTCTCTCTCTCTCTCTCTCTCTCTCTCTCTCTCTCTCTCTCTCTCTCGTTTTGGCTTTTTGGGTCACACTTGGCAAGGCTCAGGGATCACTCCTGGCTCTGCATTCAGGAATTACTCCTGGTAGAGCTCAGGGGACCATATGGAATGCTGGGGATTAAACCCAGGTTGGCTGCATACAAGGCAAGTGCCCTCTCTGTTGTGCTGTATTTTTAGGCTCCTCAAGCAAGCCTGATTCTTGACCTTGCTCCCAGGTTTTATGACGACAGTGAACACAGGCTCTTTAAACAGGCATTAACGAATCAGCGTCTTGACATAATAAACGTCAGCTGGACCCAGAAATTAGGTGGTTTGGAAGCATCCTGCCGAGAAAGACTCAGCTGGGTTCCCGTCCCTGGTGAAACTGGAGGGAGTTGGAAAAGGATTCTGCCTGCTGTAAAGCAAAGCCCTGGTCTGGGGTATCTATGTTGGGGCCGTCCCTGGAATTCCCACCCCAAAAAGAGGCCCCAGTTCCCTATCTCCTAAGGATGCTCTGTTCCTTTGGGGAATGTCAAGCTCTGGGAACCCCCCTAGGAATCCTAAGCTCTCTTACCTGCCTCCACCCTGCCAAATAGGAATCGTAAGTTCTCTGATCCCTTCCACCCCTCCAAATATGGAACGCTTCACAAATTTGCATGTCATCCTTGTGCGGGGGCCATGCTAATCTTCTCTGTATGGTTCCAATTTTAGTCTATGTGCCGCCAAGGCAGGCACAAATTCTGCCCCACTCCATCCCTAGTTTGAATCCAGCCTGATTCAGCATCCTGAAAGGGGCAAAAAAAGGGCTATCAAAAATTGTTTCTGGAACTCAGGGAAAATGTGTTCATGGTTTTCACGCAAAGGAATTCACATTGCACGACCTCGACATGAAGTATCCATCGGATGAGTTTGACCTGTGCTGACAGCCACACGTTGGAAAGCAACACCACAAACAAGATGAATTTGAGGCCAGAGCAACAGTCCAGCAGATAGAGTGCTGGCCTTGCACACGGACGCCTGGGGTTCAGTCCCTGGTATGCCACATGGTCCCTGGAGTCCCACAAGCAGGTAACCCTGAGCACAGACCCAGGAGTAAGCCCTGAGCACTGTGAGGTGTGACCCCAAACAAAGATGCTGAGTCTCTCGCCTCTAAGGGCTCCTAATTGTAATTCCTCCTCTTCTAAGTCCCAGGGACAGAGCAATGACGGAGCTGCTTCCTGCCACTGTCCTTTGGCTGCATTTTCTAGAATTTTTTCATTTCATTTTTTTTTCATTTCATCTTCCTGTTATTCGTCGAATGGCTCGAGCAGGCCCCAGTAACGTCTCTTTCATCCTAACCCTGAGATTATATTCAAGGCTCTTTAGGAGAATGAGACCCATCATTGTTACTGGTATTTGGCATATTTGGTATGTCACGGGGAGTTTGCCAGACTCTGCCCTGTGGGCAGGCTACATTCGAAAGCCTGCAATTTTACATAAATGAAATCACATAGAATGTCTTTCATTGTCCTGCTTTTCCCTCGAAGATTAGTGATTTTGAAACCTAGGTGTATTGTACATTTCAATCATTTATTGCTTTTGATTGCTGAGTAATCCAAATGTTCTAAAACATGGATATCCCCCAGTTATTTAGTCAGCTGAAGCACTCAAATGTATTCAAAATATTCTTTTCAGTGTTTTGGGGGGCCACACCCAGCAATGCACAGGGGTTACTCCTGGCTCTGCACTCAGGAATCACTCCTGGTGGTGCTCAGGAGACCATATGGGATGCTGGGAATCGAACCCGGGTCTGCTGCATGCAAGGCAAATGCCCTACCCGGTCTGCTATGGCTCCAGCCCCAGAATTCTTTTCAATCTTAGAATATATATATTATTTTTGTTTTGTTTGGGGCATCACATCCATTGGTGCTCAGAGCTTACTCCTAGCTCTGTGCTTAGGGATCCCTCCCAGCAGGGCTCAGGGGACCATTTGGTGGGGCACGGATTGAACCATGTTTGGCTGTGTGCAAGGCAAGTGCCAAACATTTCTGTGCTATTTCTCCAGCCCTGTTTGTCTCTGTTTCTTTTGGAGGCTACACCCAGTAGTTCTCAGGGTTTTTTCCTGGTCCTGCACTCAGGGATCACTCTTAGTAGATCTCGGGAGAATCCTTTGTGATGCCGTGGACTGAATCTGGGTTGGCTGCATACAAGGTAAGCACCCCTACCTGCTATACTATCGCTCTGGCCCCAAATGCCATTGTATTTCTATGTATCAGCAATTATCAATCAGAAATGGAAATGTTTTAAGAGCAATATTGTATAAAGTAATACAAAAATGTCAAGTGCTGGCCCAGGGAGATGACTCATTACGCTGGAGCACATGGTCTGCAGGCAGGATCCCTGGGGTTCATCCCTAGCACTGCATGGTTCTCTGAGCACTACAGGTACTGGGTACCCCTGAGTAATGCTGGATGTGATCCCCAAACAAATAAACAAAAGTAAAATGATAAAAAATTTAAAAATAGGGATCAGAGCAATAGCTCGGTGGATAGGGAAGTTGACTTGCATGCTGCTGACCCCAGTTCAATCCCCAGCACCCTGTATGATCCCCTGAGCCCACCAGGAGTTATTCTTGGGCACAGAGCCAGGAGTAAGCCCTGAACACCATTTTTAGGTGTGGCCCTCAAATAGACAAATATATATATATATGTTAAACTGTAAAATATTGCCAAGAAAACTTTAAGAAGAAAAATCTAATGAAGAGATATACTCCCCAGAAGCACAAGGACTTAATGCAGAACCCAGCAGCTTGGAGCAGAAAAGTGAACGGACTATGCGTTGATCCAGCCCATCAAGTCTGCCGGAGGGGAAAGGGTGTTGCCCCATTCGCCCTCTCCTCCCTGGAAAGAAAGATGGCGGCCACATGGGAGCCTTGTGGACAGCAGGTATGAGCCGGGAGTGTGGGGGCGACTAAAACCTCATGGGAAGGGGGGCGTTTCGCTCCGCCCTTCACGCCCTACCGAGGCCACCGGTTGCCCCCCGCGAGCGGCTCTCCAGCACGGCCACGACTCCAGAACACAGAAACCAATTTCTTAACTATCTGACTTTCAGTAGAAATACTTCCAGGGTCAATAGGTAAAATAGCAGAAATCCAAAACCAACATTTAATTCTTGAACCCAGCTGTAGAAAGCAAATCACTTCACAATGCTTTTTCAGCATGTCTGATTTGGGGGGGGGGGGTAAACTCTAAATAATAGTGGTGAATCTTTTATTGAAACAATGAAGCTAATCAAAGCAGATAGAGTGTTAACTAGAATTCATCTGCCTCACAGGGATGGGGAGGGGTGGGGGGTGGGGTTTTATTGGGGTTCTTCATGGTAAAAAATAAGTATTGGTAAAGGGAAATGTGTTTGATATTTGCATGACTGAGACATAAACCTGAAAGCTTTGTAACCTTTCCCACAGTGATTCAATAAATAAATAAATAAATAAATAAAACTAAAAAAAAAAAAAAGAGATATACTATGTTCATGAATGAAAGCTTCATGGAATGACTTATAAGTTCCATGAAATTCTGCTCAAAATTCCAGCAGCTCTTTTTTGGTGAACTGCTAGCATATTCTAAAGTGGATACGGAAGGAAAAAGGATCTAGCATGTTCACAGTGACTTTGGAAATAAAACTACATTCTGAGTATCTGCAGAACAAGAGCAAGTCTTATTCTGACACTGCAGGCTGCAGTTATGAGAAGCAGAACGTTATGGGGGTAAGGGAGTGACATGCCTCCACAGACTGGGTTAGAGAGTCCAGAAATAGACTCACCCACAGATAATCAATCACATTCCCCAAAGGATGAAAAGGAGTTTAAGAAGAAATAATTTTTCAATGTATATTTATCAATCACAGATCACAGATCATCCTGTGATTCGTCGATTGCCTTGAGCAGGCCCCAGTAACGTCTCCTTCATCCTAGCCCTGAGATTATATTCAAGGTTCTTTAGGAGAATGAGACCCATCATTGTTACTGGTATTTGGCATATTTGGTACGCCACGGGGAGTTTGCCAGACTCTGCCGTGTGGGCGGCTACATTCGGTAGCCTGCCAGTTTGTCAAAGTAGGAATGAGATGTCATATAAGATGTCATTTCGGGAGCTGGTTTTTATAGTCTCAGAGTCTTGGCCGCTGATGGGATTACATGGCGCTAGGGGGCCAGTTGGTGGGTGTAACCCCCGCCTACTGGAATTTGGAGGATCTGGGTGGAGGATGCTCGACTCCAATCCGAGTAGGCTTGGAGATCTCGGACCCGGAACCCACGTGGCTTTGTCCCTCTGCTGGTACCTTCATGTGTGCGGAGAGTGGTCTCAGCATGGTGGTGGCTGGTCCTGGAGGTCTTCGGCTGCCGGGGCCCTGGCCAGGGCGGGGAGGAAAGCTCAACCCGCTCCCTTCCAAGGGCCCCGGCGAGGAATAGCCAGGCACGGGGGCAGGAGACTGCGCTCTTCTCCTCCGGGAGCTGGTTTTTATAGTCTCAGAGTCTTGGCCGCTGATGGGATTACACGGCGTATATTTGTCAATATATACAACAAGTCTTAAAATGGAGATGTTACTGGGCCTGCTCGAGCAAATTGATGAACAACGGGAGGACAGTGACAGTGACAGTGGCATATATTTCAATGAGAATAGGCATTTTATTGTTCAAGCAGGCAACAATAACATATCCATTGTGAGACTTGTTACTGTTTTTGACATATTGAATACACCACGGGGAGCTTGCCAGGCTCTGCCACGCAGGCAGGATACTCTCAGTAGCTTGCCAGTCTCTCCGAGAGGGATGGAGTAACCAATCTGGGTCAGCTGCGTGCAAGGCAAACACCCTACCCGCTGTGCTATCGCTCCAGTCCAGGCATCTTATTATATTGTATTAAATGCTTTTAATCTTCTTATTCACATAGATCAAAATCACATAGTAATCACAGATTGACTCTTACTGATTTATTTTCTCACCATTCTACTTGCCATTTCTTAACATTTTACTGGAATAAGCAATATAAAGTAAATTTATTATGTGCCAAAAGGGGCAGATTGGGATTGGGAGGGAAAGTAGGTTATTTGTGGAGGGAAGTTCACACTGGTATTGTTGGAACACTAAATCCTTGAAACAGCTGTATGATGGACAACTTTGCAAATCATGGTGTTTTTAATAAAAATCAATTTAAAAAATAAAGGCAGTCTTCTGCCCCCGCACCTGGGTGTTCCTTCCCGGGGCCCCTTGGAGGGGAGCGGGTTGAGCTTTCCTCCCCACCCCGACCAGGGCTCCGGCAGCCGAAGACCTCCAGGACCAGCCACCACCATGCTGAGACCACTCTCCGCACACATGAAGGTACTGGCAGAGGGACAAAGCCACGCGGGTTCCGGGGCCAAGACCTTCAAGCCTACTCGGATTGGAGTCGAGCATCTTCCACCCAGATCCTCCAAATTCCAGTAGGCGGGAGTCACACCTACCACCTGGCCCCCTGGCGCCGTGTAATCCCATCAGCGGCCAAGACTCAGAGACTATAAAATCCAGATCCCAGAACTGCGCGGCCGCATTTATGGCCGCGCGACATCTTATCAGAACTTTTTTTTATGACATCTTATTGTCTCATTCCTACTTTGGACAAACTTGCAGGCTATTGAATGTAGCCTGCCCATAGGGCAGAGTCTGGCAAACTCCCCGTGGCGTACCAAATATGCCAAATACCAGTAACAATGATGGGTCT